ATTAATTACCTTAAATCTACATTTTCCATATTTCTTCTTTCACGAGCTTACCATAATTCTTTTAATCCTACAACTATAAATATCCCCTCCATACCTCTCATATCCTTCACACCGAAACCTAGTTCTTTTTTTCTCTCTTATTTTTCTTTTCCTTAAAACCTTTCCCTATTTTTTCTTCTCTTCTTTTCATACCAAGATTATCGTGTATACCATTAAAGCCAATTAACGGGCACTACAGACGTTTTTTGAGGTTTTTTTTTATTTTAAGGAAGATTGTTTCTCTTGAAAACTCCTTGAGGTTAAGCACAAGAATCACCCAATTCGAAGTTATAGTGAAAGAGTTATGATCTCTACAACTTCTGCTTATTCTCTCTAACACGAATTCATCTCTCTTTAATGCTATTCTTTTATTGTCTTCATAGTTAGTTTTCTAAAGTAAATAAATTTATTTCAAAGTTATAATTGTAGATTAAAGAATTATTTTTAAAGAGTTTTGTACTTCATGCACACATAGATTAGGGCTTACGTCAAGAGATGTTGTGATGATCTTATGACTATAATAATTGCATAGTGTTTTCCTGACTGAACTTTGAAAGTGCAAAGCGTTGATTTGAGACTCGGTATCAAGATACGTTTAAATGGATATTTAGATACCTTATTAAAGTGCTTTGAATTGATTAACATGTTTATGTCAAATTGAATTTAACTGAATGTTTTAGAATTGATTTATATATCATGTACTATGAATTAAAGTATTTGAGAAATTGATTTAAATATCATGTTTTGAATAGTTTGAATTATTGATCATATTTAAAGGAATTGATTTGAAAAATATGTTGAATTGAATAAAGGGAGTTTTGAGTTGGAATTATTATTATTATTGGAAAAGTTGGTTTTTATTGATTTAATTAAGGGATTATCTTTCATGAGGGATTAGTGATTTATCATTTAAAACTTTAAAAGTGTATTTTGCAATCCTACTATGTAAATTTGGTTGATAAGACTATGGACTTTGTATGACTTAGTCGTTCCTCAAGGATAGCTTTCTACATATATATACTAACTTGGGGGTGTGCACACTTAAGAGTATAAATTGAAATCGGTTTTCAATGCTTTGAAACCTTTATTGAGCTGTTGAAATTTTGAGTACTTGAGTTACTGAAATTTTGATTATTTGAGTATTGAATTTAATTGAGATTATTAAATAGAGTAATCTGATGGTTTTTATTGAAATAATTAATGTTGTCATGAATTTCATGACTTGAGTATTTGAAAGAATGTTTATGAATTAAAGTGAATTTACATATCTTGCATTATTATGTACTTTGCATATTTTGCTAATTCATACTTTTTATTTTATTTTGGTTCGCCCAATTTGCTTTATTGGTAAGCATTTCTGAATTTAATGTGAAGTCAACATACGCATTGGGATCCCAGGAATTAATTATCCTAATCTAGGGTGTTTGGAAGTCTTTCATTTAATTTTTGAATACTCATAAAAATAGTTCGATTTTTAGAGTTATTGATAATGTAAGAGGTTATTTACGCTGTAAGTTTGTAGTGTGTTAAACTTTTAATAGCCTTTCGTAATCATGCGGCAGTAATATGCCCAAATCATCTCTATGGTATAATTATATGTATTACTCTAGTATTTTCGTAGGGGAAAGTAAAAGTAGAAAGTAGTTTTTTCGGTTTTTGAGATAAGTGCAATGAATGTTGTAATAGTTGGTGAATAGTGAATATATGATCACACTGTCATACATGCACAAAATTTATAGGAGTGTGGGAATGCGTACCCATTTGGTGGAGATTGGTAGCCACCTCATAATACATCTTCGGATATGCATCAGGAATATTTTTTATATTTTTTTTTATCAATCTTCTGCAATGACTTCTTGGGATCTTATTAATTACAAAGATAAAATCATTATACTTATTAAAAGAAACAAGATATTCCAAAGAAACAAGATATTCCATAGAATTTTATAAAAAGTGACAGGTTAGCTCACATGTGCATGATAGTGGGGCAAAGGTGTTCAAATAAATCGAACAATATCAGCTGGTTTATTGTATTTGTCGACATCACCTTTGAATATATACACCGTTTTGTAACTTGTGGTTTGATTTCATTCATAAATTGCAGAAAGTCTTTTAAATATTTAGCAATTCCTTCCTGAAGTGCTGCACACACATACACACTATATATGTAATTAGCTAAGTGAATCTGTAAGATTGCAAGACAGTATGGCTGATGAGATCGGCCTACGATATGTTGAGGTGGAAAAGTTAAGAAAGAGAACTGATGAACTGGTTAGTAAAAACCTGTTGTGTGTTTATGAATATTCTGGTTGTATTTTTTTAATGAATATATATATATATGTATATATATACATATATATGTATATATGTATATATATTAAAGTACACTATTTTACGTTAAAAGTAAGTACCTAATTATCCGAATCCCTTGTACAACTTATCTTTACTTTTAATGAAGAAAACATACTAATAATTATCAAGTAGCATCTTTAATTATAAAATTTTCAATATCTAAGATTATAGAATAAAATTTTAACATTAATGTAATTTGACATCATTAATAATACGTATATATATCAACTTAAATGATACTAAGTAGCTGGAAATAAAATTGAAGTTCATAATTTCTAGTGTAAGATGCTTGGAACCATAAATTGTATGCTTCCCTTAGTATATAAATAGCATAATAGCATATGTGTTTTTATCATACTCTTTTAGTGTTTCACTATACCCACCTGGCTAAGTGTTGGATGTTAATATGTTATATTACTTTAAATGAAGTCAGGGCTATTTCATTGTACACTTCTTCTTTTTCAACAGCGGGATCTGAGGGTGGATTTGGGCTGCTGGATCCTCGTTTTCTCGATTGCTTTCTATTTTTAGTTATAGTGGGGAGATATCTAAAAATTCATATTAAAAAAAATCATTAAGTTGGTAGCATACAAAAATGTGTCAATGATTATCCTAAACTCACACGGAATGAGTTAATATGGTCATACATGTCTATGGATGGACCCAGACCCATATAACCATATTGATCAACAATAATTTATACATTGAAGATGAGGAGAAAATTTAACAAAAGAAAATATATCATATGTATGAAAATTGGTTGTTTTGTTTTTAATGAATAAATTCACTCACATAACAATAAAATGCGATAACTTTTAGAATGCGAAGAAATTAATTGGGGTATGCAAAAGCAATACTCCTCATATTAGAGGTAACTCAGAGAAGAAAAGAGGCGAAGGCAGAATAATCCTAATGAGTGTCACCCTTACCCCTTAAATAGTCACACTAGATTCACTAAATGTGAGAATAATGAGCTGGAATATCCTAACAGAAAGGCTACTAGACTCAAGTAATTAGCAAAATACTTATTCACCCTAAACTAAATACTCTAAATAAATCATTACCCCCACTAGTTTCAGTATTATTTTCTTGATTGATAGTTTAACTAAGTGAGAGGGTAAGAGAAATCCCACCCTCAAAGTACCCCTATTAGAGTGAAATTTACATAGTACACCACCCTTAATTAAACGGTGTGTTTTATAGTTAATTTTCATAATGCCAGCTTTTAAAATATTTTAAAATAAAATAAAATAAAATAAAATAAAACAATACTTTCCACAATTTGTGCGATTCATGCGTGATATTCTCCATATTACATTTCCAGAATTAACTTTAACCATTTTTTCATTTTTAAATTTAGAGAGAAGTTTATACACAATTTTATAGAGAGAAGTTTATAAATTTCATAATTTTATAACTTTAATCTGCAGGTACACATGAGCACAAATTATTGCATATTCTGAAGAGTAGAGAATTTACTTACAGATTTTGTTTCATCAAGTATTAGATACAATAAAATCATATCGCTTTAATATGTTCAATTAGAATCAGTTTACACAATGTTCAATTAGAATCAGTTTACACATTAAGATCTATAATGGGAAAATACCCATCAACTTGCCTTGAAAAGTTAACTTTCAGACATGGGAAACTACAAACCAACTAGCAAATCAAAACTAAACATAGAATTAGCAACTTCAAATATTCATGGAAAGGTATAGTAACAAACACAAGCTAATTAATGCAAATATTCAGAAATTATCTAGTAGAAAGGGTCTACATCATCATCCTCTTCTTCTTTGATAATTTCATCTTCAAGTTCACTGTTAACCTCCATTTGATTGCTTTCACGAAACTAACCTTGCAAACATACTAAAGCTTAAACTGTTTTTGATTTTAATGAACAATGCGATGCCGAAACTGTCTTTCCCCCAATACTAAAAGCAGACTCTGAACCTTTAGTACTAACAGGAATAGTCAACAAATCCCGTGCCATCTTAGATACTACAAGATACTTCACAAAACTTTGATCCCAAAACTCCAAAATATTTAATTGTGAATTGAGATCTAAAGCATCATCATCTAGGTACATCTCAAGTTGTGACTTTCCTACTTGAGATCTTGTACTAGTACCAACAAAATGATCATAATCATCAAAGTAGTTTCTAGCTCCGGAAGTACTGGGAGGAAAAGGAGCAACTACCAAGGGTGGAGCCAGAGGGGTTGGTGGAGGCCCGGCCCTCTGTGGCCCAACTGCAGAACTCTTAATTGTTAGAACTGGCCCCCTTAAAATATTCATAGATAAATTAAATTTGTATGGTAATATTTATTGTAATTGGTAGCACGGATCCAAATCGCAAAATTGCGGTTTGTGATTTTTCAAACCGCACTAAACCGCAATTCTAAACAAACCGCACCGCAAAATACGGTTTGGTGCAGTGCGGTTTGCAATTTTTCCACAATTTTTTTACTGCACGATTAAAAAAGTAGTTTTATTTTGTGTTTATGAAGTTAATATGCAAATATTAAAACTCATTTTTTAATTCTTAATTAACTTATACTCAAATATTATGTCATACTGACTCTAAGTCTCTAAGAAGAAACAGAACTTGTCCACCTTCAAAAGTGATTAACAATTCTAGTAAAATCAAAATTCCTACTTACATCCAACATCAAAATAAACTAATAATGTTTAATATCTAAAACACAACATAAAACACTTGCATCCTACATCAACATAATGTCTGATGTCTTGAATTACAATACAATTATTTTCAGTAATCCAAGATGATCGTACATTGGTTCTTTTCACTTAAGCCACCATATAGCATACACCAACCTACATAAGCATAAGAAATTCACATATTAGTTAAATAATAATAATTTATTTTGAAATTCATACATTTTTTTTTTAATAAATAATCAAATTACCTCTAACAATGAAATAACATACGAGCTTTAAGCCTCATGCTATATCAATGATGGGTGGAGATAAACTAATCTTAGAGAGATCTACAACAAAAGAAGTGCATGTGTTATTTAATATGAAAGATAAATGATAAGCTAAAATAGTTGAATTATGTAGCTATAAAAGGGACATAACTACATACCACTTTCCAATTTTTCAATATCCTCCGTTGGCTCTTCAACATTAAGGGGTGATGCACGAAGCCAATCTTGACCACAAACAAGAGCTTCTACTATTTTAGGAGTTAATGAATTCCTAAATGAATTAAGTATTCTACCTCCGGTGCTAAAAGCACTTTCAGATGCAACCGTAGAAACAGGTATAGCTAATACATCACGAGCTATAAAAGAAAGAGTAGGATATCGTGCACCATGAGTTTTCCACCACTTCAAAATATCAAAATCATCCACATCCTCCTCTGTATCATCATCTAAATACTTTTTAGCTCTGTTTTGGCATCCACATCATCTTTTGTAGCTTTAAGTTTCTTGTATCTAGCCCTTATTATTCCCTTATTTCCTATACTAGGCTCACCATCTACTCCACAAGAAGTTGAACCCCCACTCAAAGTACTAGTTGAATTAGTTGTCACTTGTGAGCCCTTGTACTCATCATGCATATTCTTAAAGGCTTTCTTGACACTGTTGCATACATTTAAAGCTTCATTACTCTTATACATTTGACAAATCCCATAGTCAACACAATCCCATTTGTAACGAGGATCAAGTATTGCAGAGATAAACAACATTACATTTAGCCTTTTATGATCACCCCAATATTTCTCACACTTTTCTTTCATTTTCATAGACATGTTCTTAAAATTATCATCTGAACTAGCACAACATTCCTTTAAAAGACAATCCACATCAGAAACCTCATGAAATAAGCATTGGAAGTCACATATAATGAGCCAAAAACACAAACAGTCAAATTATAAAAAGCTTTCAACAATTTTAGCAGGTTCTGAACATGATCCCAATCATCTGAAATAGGTTTCCCTAACCCCTTTCCATAACCATCCACATCCCATAAATCATCATTATAATGTGGGTCTTCTTCATCATATCTCTTAAAAGGATTTACATATTTCACAGCAGTGCCTAATATCAAATAAGTCGAATTCCATCGAGTTGGAACATCAAGACACAACATACTTTGAGTTGAAATTTTCTCTTCCAAGGCACATTTTTTAAACCTTTCAACTCTATTGCAAGATGACCTAATTATCCTTACTGCATTTCGAACACGATGTACAGAATCATAAACCATTTTTAAAACATCATTCACAACCAAATTCATTATGTGAGCAATTCATCGTACATGCAAAAATTCTCCTCTCAAAACACTTGTCCCCTAATTGTTTATTCTTTTTTTCAAATAAAGAATAGTTGTATCATTAGAGCTTGCATTATTTATAGTAATAGTCATGACATTTTCAATACCCCATGAAAGCAAGCATTTCTCAATTGCCTTACCAATTGCTTCCCCTTTTTGACTTGATATTTGACAAAAATTCAATATTCTTTTGTTTAGTTTCCAGTCATTATCAATAAAGTGGGCAGTTAGGCACATATAATTGATTTTTTGCAAGGAAGTCCATGTGTTAGTTGTAAGACAAACCCTTCTACAATTGGTCTTTAAAAAAGTCTTCAGTTTCAATCTTTCATCCATAAACAACTCATAACGATCCCTAGAAACAATAAATCTTGAAGGCACATGAAATGTGTTCGACAACTATGAGCAAAAGTATTTAAATCCTTGCCGTTCAACAAATCTAAATAGCAGCTCATCTACAATTATCATATAAGCTAGTGCTTTTCTACACTTATCATAATTAAAAATCCAATTTTTCACATTTCCCTCAAGCTCTCCATCTTCATTTACAGGAGATTAGAAAGATAATTGAGTTTGCTTAGGCCTTGGATCAGTATGTTTGTTGTTTGGACTTTAGGAACCATTTCTTCAAGTGTGATCTATAAGTACTTGTGCCATTAACTTTAGGTACACATTTGTAAGACATACCACAATGTTTGCGCTTACACATTCCTTGCCCATGTTCAGTGTATTTGATGAAGTGATCCCATATGTCTGACATTTTGTTTTGTAGCCTTTCTCTTTTGTTTAGGTTGTGGCATATCCTCTTTCTCAAGAAATCCTTCCTCATTATCATCTTCAGCAAGGGGAGTCCCCACAGAACTTGGGCTACCTTCTGTACTTGACATCTAGGTGTCAAAATATCAAAAATAAATAAGTTGGAAGCAAAATCAATAAACATGATTTAATATTGTAGAAAAATGCTAATAAATTGAGAAAATAATAACTTACATTTCAAGACCCTGTACTTGACTCCGTTGTATGAGACGAACAAACTAGACCAAAAAAATTAATAAATTAGGTGCACAAAATTTAAAAATTACAGAGACTATACACAGATTAGTAGATTACTTACATAAAATTTATGATTTGTAAATTTGAGAGTTTATAAACAAAAATTTAAATGAAAAAAAAAAATCAAATTTGATACTATGTAATAAAACGAACGCTCATGACCAACTAACCATGTAAAACACAAGATTTAAGCATGAATATGATAGATTTCTAAACAAAGATTTAAATTTTTTTAAAAAAAGTACTACTTACTTCAGATTTCTTTGTGAATCTTGTAGTGGAGGCCGACAATTAGCAATATGGTTGCATGTGGTGGTCGATTGTCTGAATTTCAATGGTCTTGATCTCTAAGAAATTAAGATTTGAAGGAGAAAGAGAAGTAGAAATTGATACAGAGAGGAAGAAGAATGAGGGAGTGGAGGAACCGAGGAAGTAGAGAATTAGAGATGATGTCGGCTACTAGGTACAAGGTACTGCATAATAAAATCAATAACCCTAAAAAAATTTAAGATCTTTTATTTTTATATTTGTTTATAATAATATGTATTATAACATCGGTTTTACGGTATACGGTTTAAACCGCAAACCGCAATTTTATAATAATATGTATTATAACATCGGTTTTACGGTATACGATTTAAACCGCAAAACGCATTAAATTGCGGTTTGCGGTGCGGTTTGGTTTGAAATTTTTTGAAACCTCACCAAACCGCAAAATTACGGTTCGGTTTGCAGTTTGGTGCGGTCTATACTGCACTCTGCACGGCCCTAAGCCCAGTGGCAGAAAGTCAGGATCAACGGATGATACTTAGGTACAAACAAAGTTTAGGTTCGATTCTTGTTGTTTGCACTTCAACATTTCTTTTTTGTTAATATATTTCCCTGTATTTTTAATTGACAATATTGTGTAGCTTAATTTGATTCTTGGTTTTTTTTTTTTAATTTATTTTTTATATATGTTAATCTTATTTTTGGTGCAAATGACCACAATCACAATGAATAATACAAATGGGGGAAAATATCGTTGGTTTTGTATTAATTTGTGTAATGTGTGATTATTTTGATGAATAACAAAACTATGGGTTAAAGATATTTTGTTGAAATAAATTAATATTTTCTCCTTTTTATATTTAATTATAATTCGATCACAATGTTTTGAGTTTTGCAATATAATTATTAACATATTGTATTTATTTGACTATTAAAATCTTTGATAATAATTTGTATAAGTTATTAAAATGGGTTATCTAAAATATACATTGAGTTTAATCATAATACAACTAATAACATTTGATTTGTTATATATTAGAAAAAAAAAAAATTTATCAAAAAAAAGTAGTTAAAAATGTGGTCAAGGCTAATTTATAATAGCGCAAAAGAAAAAAGTTTGCGAGGGAAAACATATACTACGTACATAAAATACAATAATATTTTTGTTAATATAAGTTTCGGGCCCGTCGGATTTCAAATTCTGGCTTCGCCCCTGGCAACTACAATAGGTTAACTACTAGCAAATTGCAACTTATAGTCATCAAACATTGACTTCATAGTTCCCAACACCAAGTTAATTCATCTCGAGGCCTCTACACTTCCATATAACTTACTAAAACAATATTCTACAAATTTCACCTTGTACCTCGAATCAAAATGGTGGCACATGTCAAGTACAAATTATAATCCGACCAATACTTGTCAAAATTTTCAAGCATTGGTTTCACCATTACCTTTAAATAATCATAAGGACCTTTCTCCGCCTAAAGCAAACGGCGATGCACCATCTATGCACCTTTGAATTACACATTAGAAGTAGGATAATTCACAGTCGAATAAACATACAAGTAACCTCATAAAACAACTCCAAAAATTTGTGAATCACACTTACTTTTTTCCACTCATCCTCTAAAGGAATATATGATTGAAATGAAGCATGACTATAACTCAAGTGAAGAAAAAGATCTTTAAAGTAAAGAGAAGTGCCAAGCATTTTATACGTGGAATTCCAACGAACATGCATATCAAGGTTCAATTTCGTTTTTATATCAAGGTGAAATATCTTCTCCGCACAATCATAGAATTCTTCACTTCTATGAGAAGATTTGATGATCAACTTTATAAATGAACGAATTTTATCCAAAATTCCACTAATACAAATCAATCCTTTTTGCACAATAAGATAAATAATATGGGCACAACACCGCACATGAAACAATGTCTTACCACAACTTAACCCTCCTCTAATAGGAACAAGACGTCTCTTCAAACAAGATATCATCACATCATTATAAGTTGCATTATCAACGGTAATAGAGAGTATCCTATCATCTAATATCCATTGGCTAAGAAACATACAAATCTCATTAGTAATACTTACTCCATCATATGGAGGAGCCAAGGCCCTAAACCTAAGAATTTTTTTATGGAGTTTCCAAGAGTCATCAATAAAGTGAGAAGTGACACAAATGAAATATTGCCTAGTATGATTTGATTTCAATTATCAATTGTTAAACAAATTCTACCCCCAACATCAGACAACAAACCTTTCAATTTGTCCCTTTCCAATACATAGGTCGTCAATAAATCTCTCTTAGTGGTTGCACGGCTAAATGGTATAGACTTGGGGGTAGCTCTTTTCATCATTCTCCTAAATCCTTTTTCTTCAACCATAGTGAATGAATGACTGACCTCCTTCAACAATGAAATTAAGTATCTCTTTTCGAAGTTCATTCATGTCAAAAACAAAATTTTCTTCATCACTATCTTCCTCAAATGTAAGTCCTAGAGGCCTATTTGCAAACCTCTCTAAATGACGCTTCAAATGAGACGTACCGCTATCACGATGTGTAGATAAAATGGAATTACAATGTACACATTTCTCAATTCTCTCACCTTGAACTTTCTTCCCTTAAATAAGCTCTCTCCAAACTTTAGACCTCTTCTTTCTCTTTTGTTGCGGAGTGATGTATTCATTATATCCATCATCACGTGTCGTAGAAGTAGTAGTAGTAGTATCATCATCCATATTAAGGAACACACTGCACAATCAAAGATGACTTTTTAAAACAACTCTCAATCAACTAGAAAGGATTAAGATAATGTATTGTACCAATCTCAAATATAGAAAACAAATCTATCCAAAAATATATTAATACAAATTACTGTAGTCTATTGACAGTTAGAAATTCCACTGTAAATCGAGTAGATTACCACAAACCAAGATTAACCATTTTTAACTAAAAATTCAGATTACCAATTGGGCATATTTAATTAACAGGTAGAAACTTAAAACATATCTAATTAACATCAAAAAATTTAATTTGTAATTTTAAATACCAGAGTATCAAATTCAAACAACAATAACTAAGAAAAAGAATCAAAAACCAATTAAAAGAAATCTAATTAATTCAACCAGTCATCTATTTCACATTAAGCATCACATTTAGCAGCAGTGTCATGCAAATAGCAATTATAATATAAACCCTAGATTAGTCAATTCAATTTTTATGCACAATTCTTCATACATAACAATTATATCGATTATCCTGTTTGATTATCTAACATATGTCAAATTTCAATTTAGCGCAGTTATAGTTTTAAGTAACTAAAAATTTAGCAATCATGTAGAAAAATAATTGAAATTAACTGACCTCAAAGGAAAAACAAAGAAGGTCGCTAAATTGGGAAGCTTGAAAGCTCGAAATTGCTCATTAGATTACTCTGAGGAACTGCAAATATGCAAGAATTTGTAAATAAATTGAAGAACTTTAGGGTTTTTTTCTGTAGAACATCGAAAAGGGAGGAAAGAATGATATTGTAGATTGGTGTTTTTCTTCAGTTGTTTAATTTTTTAAAATAAAATTGGGTTTTTTCTTTCTAAGAATTTGGCCCTTTAATTTTTCTTTGATATTAATAGGATATCAATAAAAGCTCATTATTGACCCTATATCTTAAAGCCCTGTAGTGGCCCTATCCATTAAAACATTAAAGGGTTAAGACCCTTTAAATTTTGGCCGCCCGACCCTATTATTAATGGGCAACCCTGTCCAATAACCACCCCTATTCTAATATAGGATCAGCAATCAAACCATTTCCATTGAAGATGTAAAACTACACAGATCTGGAATTGTGTAATAAAAAACACATGTACTTGTAATTTTTTGTATAACTATATCAGTTTAATCTTATTGTACCAGAAGAAGATTACCTCCTTCCTGAATATTGTAGCATATGAACAAGAACTAAAGTCACCAATCATTACTTCTGCAGTTTTAGCTCTCACAGACAAATCATTCTTAAGTGACAAAATAAATCTACACAATAGCAGAAAGTTAAATAAGTTATATAAATGTATCAAGATGAGATTGAAATGCATCTATCAAATTATAAACAAGGTCATAGCAGTGTGTACCTTGGAACAGGCAGACAATAATGGTGGTGTAGTGTATCAATCTCCTAAAGAGAGCTCCCTGTTACAAGTATCTTTATTATTGCATGCATAGTTATGCTCATAGATAATCAACATAGCCAAGTATTATATGGTAACACTCAAGAAATATGTGAAACACTAATCAAAATGCAGACTACATCTTAAGCACAATACATGGATTGAAGTTGTTTCCTCATGGCGTTTGATCTTTCTTTTGAACAGATCAACACTTTGTTTTTATCTGGCCACATCAGAGGCAACACTAGCATTTCCATAAGAATTAACACGCTCTTGCTCAGATTTTTTGTCATCCTTATTTGTTTCTTCACCCGCTTCCTATAAGCAGAAATTACAACGAAGGCAAAGGAGGATTCAATATGCTAAGGAGCTACAAAAAGAGCTCATTCAATGGAAAAATCCACCCAATGAAAAAATCAAAAGAACTGTACACTATGCTCCAATCAAGGACCAGTTGATCATTTTCTACACTTAAATTTAAAAATAAGAAAACAAGTATAAGAACCGAACAATTAATCAAAGTATAGTGCAAAAGAAATAACTAGCCTAAGCTTTAATCTAGATAAATTTAATCACATACAAGTAATCAAAAAAGATTTCAATAGTAGAAAATAAAAGAAAAAATTACACATATACAACCAAGAAGGAAAAAGCACAAGGAGACTAATGTTGCTAATGATAAACTAGCTGTATATAGCCTAAACAAATATACTCCCTCCGTTTTTTTTTTAATGCATCACTTGGTGATGCGCAGAGCTTTAGAAGAGTAATATAATATTATGAGTGGGTGAATAATTTATCATAGTAAAAGTAATATGGAAACCATGAAAGAGAAAATATGTGAAATAAAGTAGATATTTTATTATTTAAGTGGGGATCATAGGAGAGAGAGAAATGATAAAACAATTTAAGTGGGGGTTTAAAGTAATGGAGAGAAATGATAAAATATAGTATAAAGTTATCAAAAATAGAAATGACGCATTTAAAAAAAACACCCATAAAAGGGAAGTGATGCATTAAAAAAAACAAAGAGGATATCCAAGTTGCATGTTTGTGGCAAAGATACTTTACCCGATGAACCAAACAGTTGATTGATGGATGTCTCCGCAGAAGATTGTGGACCAACGCAATAATGCTTAGTTGCGACAATTGGCAAATAGTTGGATTGTAAATTGTTGTTGTCTCGTAGCTTAGCTAATCCTTAAGTTTTACTTCCTCCGTTGTTTTTATTACTTGCTCCATTTCTCCATGCACAGAGTTTGAGGAGAAATAGTACAAAGTACTCACTCCATCTCTCCTTTATCTCATTCTCCTCCATTGAAGGAACTTATATACTTTCCCATCCATTATTGAAGAAGCTTGCAAGGTAATTTGTTTTTCAATCATCTCCACTATTTCATTCCATTGGTCTTTCATTCAATCTTCTTTCATTTTGATTTTTTGACAGAGAGAATTCTCCGAAGCGACTTCTGATTTTTTATATCATGCATGATGAATTTGAATGTTTGATTATATTTTTGTTATGATGCATGATGAATTTGAATTTTTGATCTTCTTAATTGAATTTTGGTTAATAATGATATTGTTAAATTTTGGTTAAGATTTGATTGGTAATTTTTTTAAATTTATTTAGATTGAAGAAACTCGGCGATGGCAGCAGGACAGGATAGATGGTTGGGAGGGATGGTGAAGGTTGTTCCATCAGGGGACATCTTGGTGAGTATGGGTATTGTTGCCCAAATTCATGACATTTTAGTAATTTGTGAGTTTTGCTTTCTCGTAATGTTTTTTTTTTTCTGTTTAATTTATGAGTGGGTGAATAATTTATTATATTAAAAGTAATATGGAGACCATAAAAGAGAAAATATGTGAGATAGAGTAGATATTTTTATTATTTAAGTGGGGACCATGGGAAAGAGAGAAATGATAAAATTATTTGAGTGGGGGCTTAAAGTAAGGGAGAGAAATGATAAAATATAGTATAAAGTTACCAAAAATAGCAGTGATGTATTTAAAAAAACACCCATAATAGGGAAGTGATACATTTTTTACAAAAAAAACAGAGGGAGTATATCCAAGTTTTATGTTTGTGGCAAAGATACTTCACCCGACGAACCAAACAATTGATTGATGGATGTCTGCGCAGAAGATTGTGGACCAACGCAATAATGCATAGTTGCGACAATTGGTGAATAGTTGGATTGTAAATTGTGATTGTCTCGTAGCTTAGCTAATCCTTAAGTTTTACTCCCTCCGTATTTTATTACTCGCTTCTTTTCTCCATGCACAGAATTTGAGGAAAAATAATACAAAGTAATAAAATATGAAGGAAGTGGGTTGGTGGAAGAATAAAGTATGATAGTTGGGAGGAGAGAGAATTGGAAATATTAGATTATGAAAGTTGGGGGTCTACTAGAAGGGAATAAACTAGTAAAATGTTGTGAAAGGTTTCCAAAAAGAGAAATGGAGCAAGTAATAAAATACGACTAAAATATGGCCACCAAAAAAAGTGGAGCAAGTAATAAAATACAAAGGGAGTATAAATTACTTTGTTTTTTATTTTTAAGATACGATATTATTATAATAAGATTAATTTATTCTATCAACATTTATAGTTTTATTTTAATATTTTCTTAAAATCAAATTATATACGAAGCATTAGTTTTTGGACTCAGGCGATGCCTCGGGTGGTTGTATGATTGGGATAATTATTGTAAATCAATCCTAACTCTAATACATATAGTTCCTTTTTATTATTTAATACCACTAATTTTTATAATAAATAAGAAATTAATTTTAATTAAGAAAGAACAATAGTTTATTATAGGAAGTTACCAGCATAGAGATCTTTATTATATATATATATATATATATATATATATATATATATATATATATATATATATATATATATATATATATATATATATATATATAGGGAATGGATCATGTGAAAACAAGTCTAAGGCTGAAAACTAAAAACAAGTAATCTAGACCATTGATTCTAATCTAACGGAGGAGATTAATTTCGTGTATTAGACATACGCTCACTTCTTCCTCCTTCACACATCTTCTCTCTCTAAAATTTCAAGCAATTCTTTCTCTCTCTTTCATGTTTTGGATGGAAATTCTATCATCAAATTGGTAAGTTTATCAATTTCATCATCAATTTCTTCAATTGTTTAAATGTATATGTTCAATTTATTTAGCTATTTTAATTTTTCGGTTTAATTTCTTCAGTTATAGTTCGATTTTTCGGCTTTAGTTTTCACTTTTGTTCGATTTTTACGGCTTAATTTGTTCAGTTGTGTTAGATTTTTTGTGCTAAGTTTTTTTCAACAATTTTGTTTGATTTTGCGATTTCGTGTTCGAGTTTGATTTTGCTTGATCTTAGTAAATTAGGTTTTTATGTGTAATTTTTTGCTCGAAATTCTACTCTTTACTTTATTTGAGCTATTTCATTCTTAATCGAGTTTCATATGAGTGTAATTACGTTATAATTCGACTTAATTTCTTCGTTTGGCATTCTTGAGCTTCATTTGTATTTTATTTGTAATTTTTGCTCGACTTTATTCCGGTTTTGAATGCAATTGTATTTTCGTTTAATTTTGTATTTTCTAATTGGCTGAATTGTTGATTGTTGGAAGTTGAATTGCTGATGTTGGAGTCGAGCTTTGGTGGCGAATTGGTGGAGCAATTGGTGGCTGTTGTGTGGGCGTCTGATAAAGCCTTCTGTAAATGCGATTGCTAGCTGCATGTATTAAATAGTAAAGTATGTTCTGATCTGCATATAATTAGTCAATATTAGCTGGTTGTTAATGTTTCTGAATCTACAATTATTTCTGCAGCTAATGCTAAATTAGATGATATGGTGTTACAATTTCAAAATATATCAAAATAGAGCCACTGCTTTTCAATTTCTATCTTTTAGCCAAAGACGAATTGTTGTTATTCTTCCATATAGTTTATGGTGAATGTTACTTGGACTTGCATAGTTGGTTGGAGTGACTAATGGTGCAAACATGAAATAGTTGATTTTAGCAAATTACAGTCTATGGCTTATGTTGATTTTAGCAAAAGTAAGTAATTGATAATAAACTGGTCATTTTTTTAAAGTCTACAAGTTTACTAGTACCGCAAATCTTGTAATCCATTGTTTATTAAAGCTATAGTTTAAGTCTGCAAGTGTAATTCATTCATTATGTTCTCATGATGAGTGATTCGTTATTAGTGCAAATAAAGCCTGACATTTTTATTATAAACCTTCTCAAAAAAAATAGTAAGCAACTCTATAGATTAGCATTAGCCCCTTCTAATTCATATAGCTTCCTTGAGACTCTCTGGCCTCTATCATCAATCAGATTGTTGTTAGTAGGTTAGGTTCTACACCGTATACATACAAAGTTACCAACCAGCTTTGTCCTTGATTCTCAAAATGGTTGCTAAATTGCTAGCAAAGGTAATTGCTTTGATCTTGTTTATTCGGATGTTATGTCTGCATTGTTATACTGGAAGTTCAGCTTAATGCTTATGCTATCTAGTGTAATAACTGTTTTTTGGAGTTTGCAATTGATATTTTTGTTGAAGGTGGTCAGACACAAGTCTTTTTTTTTTTTAATGTATATGTTTTATTTCAGTTTCCTTGATTTTTTTTTACAGGCAAAGTATGAATCTAGGCGCACAGGCCGCACACATTTCCAAAGTGATAAAGATCAATGCAGTGCACTTTATAGGCATTTAAAAGAAAGATTGAAGGCCGGTCATTTTACTATTAAACAAATCTTTGACAGATGCAGAACGTGCTTGCCTGCCAACAATTGAAATTGAACATTGGAAGTGGCTTGTATTTAAGTATTGGAACTCTACAAAACAGAGGGTAAGTCTTGAGATTTTGCTTGTAATTACATTACACTAAGTGACATTCGTCTTTTTAATCCAGCATATAATTTTTAAATGTTTTAGGAAATGAGTGAAGAATTGAGCTAATGCTAATTCAAAGAAGATCGAATCTGAATGTGGTGCCATCAATAGCTAGGATAATCTATGAATTGGGGAGCAATCTTTTGTAGAATGTTAGTTTAAACAAGAATTATAATTGTGATTTCTGATGCTATATCAGTGAATCCTGTGCGATTTATGATTTATGGCTGCATGTTAAAAATAATAATAGCCTCAACAATTTATTAATGCCAAGTTTTATGGCGATTGACTCTTCTGGCCCAAAATCAGTCCACGAATATGTTGTCAAGGTTAGTTTTAATTGTTTTTTGCAGCTCAATTTTTACCTTGTTTGTTAAATTCTCAAAATTCCCAATCTTGCTGTATTTTGATTAGCTATGATGTTGGTTTTCTGTTTTCAATTTCATGTTTATTGGATTAATATTAGTAATTTTTCATAAATGTGGTCCGTCTTTGCAGGACTATGTATTTGTCTATGGTGTTGCATCTATAAAGTACTATGTCGTCATGCGTTATCTGATAAGACAAATGTTTTGGTTGTAAGCATCTACGTTTTTGGCATGTTGAAAGCCTATTAGCTCAATTGGTCGAGCACCGTGTAATCACGGGATGTAGGTTCGAATCCTACATAGACTTTTTTAATACCCTTTATTTTTATATTTAGTGACCTATGGGTAAATGGCGTCAAATTGATATAATTACCCTAAGTTTATATATAGTTACCTTATTTCCGTATATAAGGACCTTAGTATCA